TTGTGGTCGCAGAACTCGCAGGCGATGGAGCGGCAGACGGCGATGACGTGCTCGCCCTTCTGCTTGAGCCAGAACTCCTCGTAGAAGCTGGCGGTGTCGAGGACGTCGGCGGGGGCGAGCTCGAGGAACTCGGCGATCTCCATCATGGCCTGGTGGGGGATCCAGCCGTACTCGTGCTGGATCTTGTGGAGCGTGGGGATGAGGGCGCCCTGCTTGGTCTCGTAGCGGGGGAGGTAGGTCTCGGTGACCGTGTCCTTCATGGCCTGGGTGAGCCACGGCTCGGCGCGTTTCTCGATCTGTGCGGTGCCCGAGTTTTTGGTGATCCACGCCATGGGGCGGTGCTCCTCGCGGTAGGTCTGGTCCGCGAGAATGGACGCGGACGGGGCCATGATAGCCCCTCGCGTCGTGGGTTTCAGCGGGGTGGCGGGTCAGGCTTCGGGGCGCTCTCCGGGGCTGAAACGCTCGCCGTGGGCGGAGCGGTGGGCGTCGAAGTCTTCGTCGGCGCTCGCGCGTGAGACGCTGCCGCCGGGGTTGGCGCGGGCGGTGCGGGGGTTGCTCACGCCGTCGGGGAGGTCCTCGTCCGGCTTGCCCCAGACGAGGGCGTCGACGAACTTCATCCCCGGCGCGACGAGGACGACGTAGTCGCCGGTGTTGTTGAGCGCACGGAACTGGCTCGTGTTCTCCATGGTGAAGACGTACGCGCCACCGAAGGCGTCGTTGGGGCCGTCCGGGGCGCGGTCGGTGGTGCCGACGGGGCCGGTGAACTCCGAGTCGTAGCCGTTGAAGACGACGACGGTCGCGCCGGCGGGCAGCTCGAACTTCGGGAACCGGAAGACGACGGCGCGCTTCTCGCTCCCCTTGCGGAACTGCAGCCGGTTGGCGAAGACGTAGCCGCGGAGGTTGATCGCCTCGTCGTGCGGGTTGTGGAGCTCGAAGAACTCGTCGCCGGCGGAGGAGCGGTGGCCGTCTCCGTTGGCGTCGCCGTCGTCCCCGCGCGGGACGTTGAAGAGGACCTCGGTGAGGACGGGGTGCTTGTCGGCGAGCGCCGCTGCGATTGACGCGGCGGCGGCGAGGGCGACAACGCTGAGCGGGATCATCGTGCGCATGGGCGCGATGATACCACGAGACTTAAGTCAACCGAATCTTGCGAACTCAGCCTTTTCTGAAGATCGCACGAAGACGGCGCACGGGGGGCGTGTTGTCGTCCTCGTAGTCGTCGATCGGGCGGTCGAGCGTCAGGCCACAGCCTTGTGCGAAGAGCGCTTCCAGTTCCGACGCGGTGAGCGGGAAGGGGGGGCCGTCGAGGGTAGCCACGGGGATGTCGTCCGCGCGTCCGCGGGCGATGGCGATGAGGACGCCCCGGTGATTAAGGAGCGAAGCGATGGCGGACGCGATGGCGGGGCGCGTCTCAACGGGGAGGGACTGGATGGTGTGGACTTCGACGACGAGGTCGAACCGGCTCGTCATCTTCGCGGGCAGGTCGCGGAGGTCCATCTGGTGGAAGCAGGATTCGTGCGCCGGGTGGAGCTCCTTCGCGGCCGCGATGGCGTGGGCGCAGGCGTCGAAGGCGCAGACGTCGTAGCCGCGTTCGAGGAGGGCGGCGGCGTCGCGCCCGAGCCCGCAGCCGACGACGGCGACGCGGGCGCCGGGACGGACCATGCAGCTCGCCTGGACGTTGAGCCACGCGATGAGCGCCGGGTTGGCGCGCGCGTGCGACCAGGGGATGCGGGTGTCGTCCGGGCCGGCCTCCTGGTAGATCGAATCGAAGCGCTCGATCCACTGGTCGATGACGGGCAGGTCCGTCCGGATATCCACAGACGGGTACGCAACGGTTGCGTTGTCGGTGAGGGTGGACATGTCATGTCTCCCGGTGCGGCGGGCGTACGTCTTGCCGCGTTGTGGGTTGCGTCATTGCAAGTTCTCGCCAGCGCGTCGGCGCCGGCGGGCGGATCCCGGGGTGACGTGTTCGGTCTCTCTCAGGATACGAGATCGACCAGAAATCACCAGATCTTTGTGGTCCGGGATCCAAAAACAGTCCCTCCGGACGCGTGAGGGCGGCACTTAAATGCGAATTCACGCGTCGTGAGGCGTGATTCCGGGGTGAGGCGTGGGTGCGTCGCGACGGGGCCTCGCCGGTAGGATGAGACGATGAGACCCCTGAGAACCTTCGCTGTGGTCGCCCTGGTCGCTTCTCCGCTTTTCGGGGGTGAGGTGGTCGGGCCCGAGATCGAGAGCGTGGACGACCTGCTGGAGGCCGTGGAGCGTGCGGACGACGGCGTGGATTCGATTCAGGCGACGGTGCAGTACGACCGCCACCTGGAGTTCCAGGACGACCGGATCCTGCGGCGCGGGAAGCTCTATTTCATCTCGGAGGCGTCGCAGCGCAAGTTCGCGGTGCGGTTCGAGACGCGGATCGTGGACCGCGTCGAGCGCGCCGAGGACGAGACGATCATCTTCGACGGCCGCTGGTTCGTCGAGAAGCGGGACGACATCAAGCAGTTCATCCGGCGCGAGGTGGCGCGCGAGGGGGACGCGTTCGACCCGCTCAAGCTTGGCGAGGGGCCCTTCCCGATCCCGATCGGGCAGGAGAAGGAGGACATCCTCCGCGTCTACACCGCCGAGATGCCCGAGCGGACGGAAGGGATCGACCCCGATGGCGAGCACGCGTCGCTGATCGCGTTCGTCGAGGGGACGCACCAGCTGCACCTGGTGCCGCGGGTGAAGGAGGGTGAGGACCTGATCGACATCCGGCTGTGGTACCTGGAGCGGGGGGACCGGCTCGTGCCGCGTCTGGCTCGGACGGAGAACGCGCGGGGTGACGTGACGTTCGTGATGCTGCTGGGGGTGGAGGTGAACGGCGAGATCCCGCGCGAGGCGTTGCGCGTGGAGCCGCCGGACGTGTCGGAGGGGTGGAAGGTGCAGGAGACGCGTCTTCCGGCGCTGGATTCGGACGGCGGATAACCGTCGTGGACGCGGCGCATAGAGTTGGGTCGTGACGAATCCTTCCTCCATGCGCGAGCCGAAGGGAGAGGTATGAGCATCCGATCCGCCATCGCCCTCGTTTGCTGTCTGGTCCTGTGCGCGACCGGTTTCGCGCAGGAGATCGCGGCGCCGGACATGCCGGACGGCCTGCTCCGCGCGATCACGGCGGAGTACCTCACGGACGAGGAGCGGCGCGACCTGCGGGTGCGTCACGGGTTGTGGACGGAGGCGGACCTGGAGCACGCGCCGTCGCGCGCCCGGGCGGCGCTGATCGCGGGGGTCTACGACGACCCGGTGTTCGGGGACGAGGGGGTGGACCCGGTCGACCGAGCGGACGCGGCGTTCCGCCGGGGCGACCTCGACGTGGCGCTGGAGCTGCTGGCCGGGCAGACGAGCCTGCGGGCGATGCGGCTGCGCGCGGAGGCGCTCGAGGGGCTCGGGCGGTTCGAGGAGGCGGACGCGGCGATCGACCCGATCGTGAGCGCGCTGATCCGCTCGAAGCAGGACGACGCGGATGAATTGGTGGAGGGTGTGCGGGCGATCATCATCCGGGCGCGTCTGCAGGGCCGCCCGGCGGACGACTACCGGCAGATGCTGGACCTGCTCGCGCGGGCGCACCAGGACATCGACCGGTACAGCTGGCCGGCGCTGCTGACGGAGGCGGAGCTGCTGTACTCGAAGCACAGCTTCCAGGCGGCGCAGGCGGCGACGATCCGGGCGCTCTCGATGAACCCGGCGCTGGCGGACGCGTGGACGCTGATGGGGCGGTTCTCGGTGGACTCGCTCGACGTGAAGAACGCGTACCGCGTGGCGGACCGTCTGGACGCGCTGGAGCGCCGGCTCGATCCGGAGACGGACCGCGAGCACCCGATGTCGGACGTGATCCGTGCGCGGATGCGCCTGCGCGAGCGCGACCCGGACGCGGCGATGTCGTACCTCGAGCGCGCGCACCGGCGCTACCCGCTGCACCGGGAGGTGCTGGCGTTGCGGGCGGCGGGGGAGGCGGCGCGGTTCGAGTTCGTGCTGGCCGAGGAGATCCTCGAGCGGTTCGACGAGCTCTCGCCGAAGTCGCCGGTCGCCCTGTTCGAGGTCGGGGCGGCGCTCTCCGAGGCGCGGCAGTACCGCGAGGCGGAGACGTACCTGCGGCGCGCGATCGACCGCCAGCCCAACTGGCCCGAGCCGAGCATCGAGCTGGGTCTCATGCACATGCAGACCGGCGACGACGAGGCGGCGGAGGTGGTGCTGGACTTCGCGACGGAGCTCGACCCCTTCAACGAGCGCGCCGAGAACTCCAAGGACCTGCTCGAGGCGCTGCTCGAATTCGACCGGGTGGAGAGCGAGCACTTCGTCGTGAAGTACCTCCCGGGGGAGGACGAGGTCATGGCGCTGGAGATGCTCGACGACCTCGAGGCGCTGCACGAGATCGTCTCGGGCGTATTCGATCACGTGCCGGAGAACAAGACGATCATCGAGCTGATGCCGAACCACGAGCTGTTCGCGATCCGCATCACGGGGATGACGGGGATCCACACCATCGCGGCGGCGACGGGGCCGCTCATCGCGATGGAGACGCCTCGGGAGGGGCGGGGGCACTCGGGTCCGTACAACTGGGCGCGGGTGATCCAGCACGAGTACGCGCACACGGTGACGCTGAGCCGGACGAACAACCGCATCCCGCACTGGTTCACGGAGGCGGCGGCGGTGTACGTGGAGCCGGGGCCTCGGGACTACCGCACGTGCCAGCTATTGCTCCAGGCGATGGAGACGGACGAGCTGTTCGACATGCGGGAGATCAACATCGCGTTCGCGCGCCCCGAGAAGCCGACGGACCGGGCGCAGGCGTACGCGCAGGGGCACTGGATGTACCAGTACATCGTCCACACCTGGGGCGACGAGGCGCCGCTCGAGATGATGGACCTGTACGCCTCCGGCTTCACCGAGATCGACGCGATGCGCGAGGTGCTGGGCGTGAGCGTCGAGGAGTTCCAGGCGGGTTTCGTCGCGTGGGCGCGTGAGGACGTGAAAACGTGGGGCATGCTCACCGAGCCGTCGATCACGCGACTCCGCCTCGACGAGACGCTCGCGGACCCCGAGCTGCGCGAGAAGGCGATTGGTGAGCTCGCGGGGATCGCGACGTCCTTCGCGCAGCGGTCGTCCGGGCTCGCGGGGCTCATCAAGGACACGGTGGAGCTCATCCGCGTGACGGAGGACCTCGTGGACTTCTGGCTCGCGGTGCACCCCGACCACGCGGACCTGCTCGAGCTGAAGCTCACGTACGAGCTGAACCGCGTCGGCGGCGAGCCGACCGAGGAGATGATCGAGCTGCTCACGCGCTACGCCGCGGCGCGCCCGGTGGACCCGATGCCACACACGCACCTCGCGAAGCTTCGCCTCGCGGGCGAGACGCCGTCGGAGGCGATCCCGCACCTGGAGTACCTCGATATCCGCGAGCAGTACAAGCCGGTGTACGCGGCGGAGCTCGCGCGGCAGTACGCGGCGATCGGCGACTGGGAGTCCGCGATGGCGAAGGTGACGCGCGCGGTGCGGATCTCCCCGTACGACGGGAACTACCGCGAGCTGGCGGCGGCGATCGCGATCCAGACGGGCGATCTGGCGCGCGCGGAGCACCACATCGAGGCGCTGACGGTCTACGAGCCGGGCATCCCCCAGCACGCGCAGCGGCTCGAGGCGGTCCGCGCGATGCGGGCGCGATCGGACTGATCAGGCGTTGTCGGGTTTCTGCGGGCCTTCGGGCTCGGCGGCCTTCTCGCTCCCGGTGGCGGGGCGCTGGTCTTCCCAGGGGCGGTCGCCGTACTTCTTGCGCCGCTCGGCCCATTTGTCCTGCTTGCGCTCGTTCTCCTTCTCGTCGAGTGCGGAGATGCCGTTGGTGAGCAGGATGGTGTTGATGAGCTTCTTGAGCATGGCGCGGCTCCGTTCGGGTCGGTGGCCATTCTAGGCCCGGCGTGCGGGGAGTACACTGCGCGGATGCGCACGATCATCGCCTTGTCGTCCCTCTGCCTCCTCGTCGCGTGCACGCTCGCGCCCCGCCAGCCCGTCGCGGTCGACCCGTCTCTGGAAGCGGAGTTCGCCTCCGAAGTTGTCGCGGCGGACCACCCGCTCGCGTCGCAGGCGGGGGCGGAGATCCTGCGGATGGGCGGCAACGCGGTCGACGCGGCGGTGGCGACCAGCCTGGCGCTCTCGGTCGTCCGTCCCGTTTCGTGCGGGATCGGCGGCGGGGGGTTCATGGTGATCGCGATGCCGGGCGACCCCGTGCACGGGCGCGTGCTCACGGCGTTCGACTACCGCGAGCGTGCGCCGGCGCTGGTGACGGAGACGTTCTTCGAGGGCGAGCCGGCGGAAGCGTCCCAGTTTTCGGGCAAGGCGGTGGCGATCCCGGGGACGGTGGCGGGCCTGGCCGCGGCGCACGAGGCGTTCGGCGTGCTCGAATGGGCGGACGTGTGCCGCCCGGCGATCCGGCTGGCGGAGCAGGGGTGGCGCGTGGACGCGCACACGATCCGGTATTCGCGTGAGCTGGAAGCGTTCCACGCGTCGCGCGACGGCGCGGACCCGTTCATGGCGTCGCGGTACGAGGGGCTGCGGGCGGGGAGCGTGATCGACAACCCGGAGCAGGCGGCGGCGCTGCGGCTGATCGCGGACTACGGGCGCGACGGGTTCTACCAGGGCCCGGTGGCGCGGGCGATCGTGGCGTCCGTGCGGGCGCGGGGGGGCGTGCTGAGCCGGGAGGACCTGCTGGCGTACGAGCCGAAGCGCGTCGACCCGGTCGTGGGCGGTGCGTTCGGGCGCACGGTGGTGGCGATGCCGCTGCCGAGCTCGGGCGGTGTGACGATGCTGGCGGCGCTGGGGATCCTCGAGGCGCGGCGCGAGCTGTGGGAGGGGGCGGGTTCGCCGGCCGACCCGCTCTACACGCACGTCCTGCTCGAGTCGCTGAAGCACGCGTTCGCGGGCCGCGCGTCGTACCTGGGCGATCCGGAGTTCGACGAGATCCCGGTGGAGCTGATGCTCTCGGAGCGCGAGATCGAGTCCAGGGCGGTGCGCGTGCACCCGAGGCGGACGTTCCGGGCGCCGTTCTACGCGCCGGGCGACGCCGTCGCCGACGACGCGGGGACGAGCCACGTGTCGATCGTGGACAAGTGGGGCAACGCGGTGTCGATGACGGAGACGATCAACCTCGCGTGGGGCGCGCGGTTCACGGCGGAGGGCTACGGCTTCGCGCTGAACAACGAGATGGACGATTTCCTCGCGCGGCGCGGGACGGTGAACGCGTTCGGGCTCGTGCAGTCCGAGCGGAACCTGCCGGAGGCGGGCAAGCGGCCGCTCTCGTCGATGTCGCCGACGATCGTGCTGGACTCGGAGACGGGCGAGGTGCTGCTCGTCGCGGGGGCGTCGGGCGGGCCCAGGATCATCACGGGGACGCTCCAGGCGGTGCTCAACGCGCTGGTGTTCGAGATGGACACGGATTCCGCGGTGGCCGAGCCGCGCGTGCACCACCAGTGGCTCCCGGACGCGGCGTTCGTGGAGACGAAGGCGTCGCGGGGCGGGGCGTTCTCGACGCGTCTGCGCGAGTTCGGCCACGCGGTCCGCGAGCGCGAGGACATCGGCGCGGTGCAGCTCGTCCGGCGCGTGCCGGGCGGGTGGCAGGCGTCGAGCGACCCGCGCAAGGGCGGGGCGCCGGCGGGGCGGTGAGGTGAATCAGCGTCGTCGGCGCACGGCCGTGAACCCGGCGAGGCCCGCGAGGGTCGCGGCGCCCGGGGACGGGACGAGGCTGTGGAAGTAGATGTCGTAGGTGTCGACGGCCTGGCCGTCGAGGAGGTCGCCGGACTGGAAGAGGACAGCCGTGAAAGCTTTGCCACCGACGGCGCTGCTGAAGTTGGCACCGTTGATCTGCGTCGGGCCGGTGTCGCCGTCGAAGACGAAGGTGACAAGGGCGGACGCCGAAGCGAAGTCGATCGTGGCGCCGGTCGGGACGGAGAGGCGGGCGACCATCACGGATTCGACGGCCCCCCCGCCTGGCCCCAAGATACTGTTCAGCTGAGCGGGCTCGAATGGCGCTGTGACGAGCCAGCTCCCGATGAGGGTGTTGCCGACGATGGCGCCACCGTTGCTCGGCGCGGCGAGGTCGGCGGGGCGTCCGGTGACCTGCGTGAAGCCGGGGGCGACTTCCGTGGCGGTGATGCCGCTTCCGGACATCCAGAGGCCGGAGCTGAGCTCGAAGCCGGTGGGTCCGAAGCCGGCGACGCCCAGGTCGTTGGTCTGGGTGGGGGCCTGGACGAAGTTGGCGCTCGCGACGATCGGGGAGCCGGCGAGGAAGTCGACGGCGACGACCGAGAAGCCCCCGTGCGCCTGCGATGCGCAGAGCACGAGCGTGAGTGTTGACAGGGTTGTTGTGTTGTTCATCGTATTTCTCCAGAACGCGTTTCCGCGTTCGATCGAATGTACATGCCGATCGGGTTGTGCCAAAGCGCAAAAACGAAAAACGCCGGAGGTGGTGAGCCTCCGGCGTCGAGAGATCCTGGTGGGCGCCGTGGTGAGCGGCGCTCTGCATTCAAAGTGTTGCCGAATTAGCGGCGACGACGGACGCCGGCGAGGCCAGCGATCCCGGCGAGGGCAACCGCACCCGGGGTCGGGATGGTGCCGAAGTAGATGTCGTACGTGTCAACGGCGGTGCCACCGAGGAGGCCGCCGGACTGGAAGAGGACGGCCTCGAAGCCGAAGCCACCGACGCCGCCGTTGAAGTTGGCGCCAGCGATTGCGGTCGGGCCGGTGTCGCCGTCGAGGACGACGGTGACGAGGGCGGACGCCGAAGCGAAGTCGATCGTGGCGCCGGTCGGGACCGACAGGCGGGCCACGAGGACGGAATCGATCAGGCTGTCAGCGGCGTTGTCCTGCGCCGGCTCGAAGGACGGCGTGATGAGCCAGGAACCGACGAGCATGTTGTCGACGATCGCGGTGCCGTTGGTCGGCGCGGCGAGCGCGGCGGGACGGCCGGTGACCTGCGTGAAGCCGGGGGCGACTTCCGCGGCGTTGATGCCGTTGCCGGACATCCACAGGCCGGAGCTGAGCTCGAAGCCGGTGGGGCCGAAGCCAGCGACGCCGAGGTCGTTGGTCTGGGTGGCGGCCTGCGCGTAGTTGGCGCTGGCAACGAGCGGGGAACCCGCAAGGAAGTCAACCGCGACGCCAGAGAACGCAGCCTGGGCACCGGCGGTAGCCGCGAGAACCGCGGCAACACTAAGAACCTTAGTCATTGTGCTAATCTCCATCTCTACCTCTGTCACTCGCTCGCACGACGATACGTCTCGTCGCACGATGGCGAGTTGATCTATCAGGTATCCAGAATACCCCGGCTTCTGCGGCCACACAAGGGAAATGCGCTTTTTCTCCGTGTTCTTTTCCTTCAGAAACCCCTCAAAACACGCACAAACCGGCGTGTTTCCCGTGATAGACGGCCCACCCGTCAGAACCCGAACTCCTATCAAAAACCGAACGTCCGATCTTCATGCTCACCAGGCCGGCTGGGATGGGTTGTTCCGTTCATGTCCCGAACAGAATGGCGATGCGGACGTGGATTCCAAGAAAAAAAGGCCCGGCGTTGCGGCCGGGCCTCTGGGCAGATTCTGGGGGTCCGATGATCGGACCTTCTCGGATGGCTCAGTTGATGAACATGTCCGGGTTGGTCATGGGATCGTCGAAGTAGGACTGGGCGAGGGGGTCGATCTGCGAATCGTCCGTGACCTGGGAACGGGTGGGGTACCACATGTTCGGGTCGCGGGAGAGTTCGGAGCTGAAGCTCTCGACGTGGCCGTCCCAGAAGACGGCGTTCATCTCGTTCTGGTGGCGGTAGCTGAACTGGAGGTTCTCGCCCATGCCGGCGGAGGTCTCCTCGCGAGAGTACGCGGGGGAGAAGCGGGGGATGGGGCTCTCGGAGGCGAACGCGCCGTAGCGGAGGTAGCTGCCGGACTGGTTGACGGACTCGTTCGTGATGTCCCAGATGAGTCGGTGATCGAGGACGGAGCCCATGCCGCCGGCGATGTCGTAGGTGCGGAAGCCATCCGCGATGGCGATCTTGCGGGACGTGCCGCCGATCTTGTCGATCTTGGGGAGGTACCCGGCGGCGAGGGTGACGCCGTCGTTGTCGGTCGAGGGCTTGCCGTAGAGGTCGTTCGGGCTGTCGAAGCCCGCGGCGCGGTCACGCGTGCCGCTGCCGGCGAACTGGAAGGCGCCGGGCATCAGGAAGCTGGTGCCGAGCATCTGGCCTTCGCGGTTCTCGATCTCCATCCAGTTGCTGGTGCGGACGGTGGCCGCGACGCTGCCGGAGTTGGCGCTCGAGAGGACGAGCTGCTTCTGGGAGGGGTCGCCGAATCGCTCCATGAGGACGTAGAAGCGGGCCTCGCGGTTGCCGGGGAGGTCTTCCTCGGAGAGCGCGGGGGTCATCCAGTCCCAGACCTGCACGGGCAGGTCGGCGCGTGAATCCAGCAGGTCGTCGAAGTTCGTCGTCCCTTCGATGTTCTCGAGGGTGATGCCCGTCGAGTTGATGCCGGGGAAGAACTGGCGGGCGTTGCTCGCGTAGGCGGTCATGCCGACGACGAACTGGCGCTGGAGGTTGGCGCCGGTCGCCTTCCACGCGGCCTGGCGAGCCTTGCCGAGGGCCGGGAGGAGGATGCTGATGAGAATCGCGATGACCGCGATCACAACGAGGAGCTCGATGAGCGTGAAGCCGCGACGGCGCTGCCCGTTGCGAGAGTGTGTGAGCTTGGTGTTCATACCTGACGGTCCCTTTTCAATGAATCTGCTGCAGCAACCCCACGAGTGGGCTGTTGTGGTCGTATCGGCGGGTCTCAGACGTCCGACGGGCGTGGTGGCCCGAGAACTGTGTGAAGATTGTCCCAAGGAGTCCTATGTACGCTGAGGCCGCTTCCAATGCAACCATACGCGTCCAAAGAACATGCGGATGCGTGATTTAGGGACCATTTCGTTTCGTCCGGATATCTTCGGATGTGCGATTTGATCGGTTTTTATTCGGTTTCGGGGGTTCCGGGACAGCGGATCAGGGGATGAGCCGGCCCGCTTCAACGAAGCCGAAGGCGGTTTCCGAGATGCTCCGGCCCCGTTCGCCCATGATCGAGCCGCGGGGGTACCAGAGGGTCGGGTTCTGCGATGCCTCGACGCCGAGGTGCTCGACGTGCCCGTCGAAGAACGCGGCGATGATCTTTCCGTTGTGACGGTAGACGTACTCCGCCTGCTCGCCGTTGGTTTCGTTGCGCTCCTGCCCCGAATTGTCCGGCAGCGGCTGGCCGTAGGACTCCGAACCGGTGTAGATCGCGCCCCAGGTCGCGAAGGCGCCCATGCGATCGGGCGCGTACGCGGCGTTGGTGGTGATGCGCCCGCCGCCGTTGTAGTAACGCAGCCCGGTGGCGTTGGCGATTTTCATCGCGGGCGCGCCGATCTCGTTGACTCGGGGTTGGAACGACTCTCGGATGACGGCGTCGTCGGTCTGCGGGACGAAGCGCTGGTCCTGCTGGCCGTGGCTTGTGTTGTAGTTCTGCCCGGGTCCGTAGGCGTCGAAGGTCCCGCGCCCGCCGTGGAGCTGGAAGGCGATGGGCATGAGGTAGCTGGTGGCGATGAGCTCGCGTCGCTGGTCGGCATCGAGCCAGGCGGCCATGTTGTCGGTTCCGCTCTGCCACTGCTCGTAGGCGTTGGAGTAGAGCTCGGCGGGTCGCTTGAGTGCGGGGTCGGCGAAGCGGTCCATGACGGCGGCGAAGCGCGCGGCGCGTTCGAGGGGGAGGTTCTCGTCCGCGAGGGCGGGGGTGATCCAGTCGACGTCCTGGACGGGCATGATCGCGTGCGCGTCGAGCAGCTCGGGGCGCTCGCGCACGCAGCGCGCCATCAGCAGGCCCGTCGAGTTGATGCCGGGGATCCAGTCGCGGGCGCTCTCGGCGTAGGCGGCGGCGCCGGTCTGGAGCTGGCGTTGGATGCTGGACGCGGCGGACGTGCGGGACGCGTCGCGGGCGCCGCGGAGCGCGGGGGTGACGATCGAGAGCAGCGCGGTAACGACGGCGACGGAGACGAGGATCTCCGTGATCGTGAAGGCGGTGCGGGCTCGGGCGGTGTGGGGTGGGCGCATCGGAAGGTCCCTCCTCGCCGGGCTTGTGCTCGGCGTGCCGTTGGGGGGCTGGGGGCGTCCGTGCGCGTCAGACGTGTGGGCGTCCGTGCGTGGGGCTCAGCATAAAAAAACCCCCATCGAAGACGGGGGCTTGTGGAAAACTTCGTGAGGCTCGAGGCGTCAGGGGCAGGGCCCGAAGAGGAAGAGCGTTGCCACAAGATCGTTGAAATCGACGGTGGCGTTCTCGTCCGCGTCGCAGCCATCGTCGGTGTCCTGCCCGAACACGAAGAGCATCGACACAAGATCGTTGAAATCGATCGATCCGTTCCCGTCGCAGTCGCCGAGGCAGATTTTTTCGGTTCCGGCGGATTCGGCGAGGAAGAGGACGGCGTCGTAGGTCTCGCTCGTGCCGGCGTTGTCGTAGGTGATCTGCGCGCCGATTGCGGCGCCGCCGAAGCCGGCGCCGCCCGCGCCGCTCTGCAGGACGCTCGAGGCGTAGAACGAGCCGGAGGCGAGCGAGTCGCTGTCGGCGAGGGTGAGGCGGTCGATGGTGTAGCTCGTCGCGCTGTTGGCGCCGGCGACGGTATCGCCCTCTTGCACGAGAAGCTCGAGCTGGTAGCCGGAGGCGGTGTTCACGGCCTTGATCAGCGCGTTGGCTGTCGGGCCCGCGGTCGGCTCGAACGCACAGACGAAGTAGATGTTCCCGTCCGCGTCGATCGCCGGGGCGGAGATCGAGGCGGGCGCGGCGCTCGCGATCGTGCCGATGGGCGAGCCGTTCTCGCCGTCGAGCACGTCCTTGCCCTCGTACGCGGCGACGGTCCAGTTGGAATCGAGCGTGATGTTGGCGACGGCGATGAACTGGCCGTCGGTGGGGTCCTGCGCCGTCGCGGCGGCGATGCGCGCGCCGGAGATCGGGTCGACGCCCGCGGCGGCCTGGCCGTTGCTTCCCCGGAAGGACTGCTGGCTCTGGTAGTGGACGAACTCGGCGTCCCCGACGGCGTTGGTGGTGAAGCCGGCGCCGTCGGTGATGTTCATCGGGAGCGTGCGCCGGACGGCGGAGACGACGGAGCCGTCCGCCATGAGCCGCGCGGCGTTGATGCTGTTCGTGGGGCCGTCGACGACGGTCTTGCCGAGCGAGAGGAGGTAGGCGTCGAAGCTCGGGAGCGCGGCGGCGGTGCTGACGTAGGGGTTGCCGCGCTGGCCTTCGATGGCGGCCTGGAGGTGGTCGGTGGTGCTCGTGGAGGCCCCCGGGGTGGCGTTGGTGTAGTTGCCGGCGAAGTCGAGGATGACGCCCCGGGCGGCGCCGAGGGATCCGGGGAGGCAGGAGGGTGTGTTGAGGGTGACGGCGGAGTCGTTGACGAGGTAGTCGCTGGACGCGGCGTCGGTGACGATGTTGGCGCCGCCGATGCGAACGACGGCGTTGACGCCGCTGGTGTTGCGCGCGTCGAGGAGGACGCGGAGGATGTTGTCGCCGTCGATGGCGTTGGCGTCGGGGGCGTTGAAATCGTCGGCGCGGAGGTAGAGGGCGCCGTCGGCGTCGATGGCGCCGAGGCTGAGTGTGGCGAGGTCCTGGCTCACGGCGTTGAAGCGGCTGGAGACGCCGATGGTGCGCGTGACGTAGAGGCGGTCGGCTTCGCTCGTGAGGCCGATGGTCGCGCCGATCGCATTGGTCGCGCTCGCGCTGAGGTCGGCGAGGGCGAGGCCGAACTGGTGGTCGAAGCTCGCGACCTGCGTGGTGCCGGGCGCGGCGTTGGCGGTCGGGTTCACGCCCTGGCCGGCGGTCGTCCAGAGCTGGAAGTCCTGCGGGCTGCCGAGGGCGACGGGACCGGTGAGGTCCGGGCTCAGCGCGACGGCGCCGACGAGCTGCGTGTCGAACATGGGGTCCGGATCGGCGGACGTCTTGAGGACGGGCGCGATCGCGAAGGGGTTGTTCCACGAGCTGGTGATGGGGGCGAGGTCGACGACGTAGCGCACGCGCTGGGACGCCGCGTCGTAGGCGGCGAGGGCGTCGCTCGCGCCGGGGGTGGCGGCGACGGAGTCCTGGCCGAGCGACTGGCCCGCGAGGGCGCACAGGGCGGACGCGCCGATGGCGTACTGAAGATTCATCTGCATGGCTCTCTCTTTCGATTCGAACGGACGCACGCCTGCCAGGCGCGTCCTTCTCGAATGTAGCACGTGTGGAGGCCTCAACGCGGGATCCGGTCCAACATTGCTCAAAATCGGTGCAACGGGACGCGATGATCGGCGGGATCGTCCGAAAAAAGCGTGATCAGGGTTCTGGGCGGGTCTCAGCCGTCGTTGAACTCGTCGAGGAGGTTCTCGATGCGGATTTTGCGGAGCTGGAGCCACTCACGCCAGCGGGGGTCCTGCTCGAGGCGGAGGGCGCGTCGGATGCTCTCGAGGGTGTCCTCGTCGGCTTCGTTGAGGATGGTGTCGGCGCGGATGAGCCCGCGGAGGGCGGGGAGGTAGTTCTCGTCGCGGATCAGGGCGCGCCGGTAGTGGGTCTGGGCGTCCTGGAGGTAGCCGGAGCGGTCGTAGAGCAGGCCGATGTTGTAGACCGGGCGCGCGTCGTCCGGGGAGAGGCCGGCGGCGGCGGTGAAGGCCTCGGCGGCTTCGAGGTAGCGCCGGTCTTCCATAAGCAGGGCGCCCAGGTTGTTCCAGGCGGGGTAGAAGTCGCGGTAGACGGTGAGGGCCTCGCGGTAGAGCTTGATGGCCTTCTCGGGGTCGTCTTCCTTGAAGGCGCGGCCGGCGATGTCGACGGCCTCGCGCTGGCGTTCGGGCTCGGAGTCGGCGTAGCTCGCGTCGAGGCGGTCGGGGCGCGCCGCGCGGTTGGCTTCGCACGCCGGGAGGGCGGTGAGCGCGGCGGCGGCGAGGAGCGAGGCGATCGCGCGCGTGGCGGCGCGGGGTCGTCGGGCGTGTGGATTCGGGTCGTGGGTCACGTTCAGTTCCTTCTCGTCTCGTAGAGCGCGAATTCCACCGTGACCGACCAGGTGTCGTCGACCGGGTTCGGGATCAGGCTCAGGTTGTCCACGAAGACTCGCTCTTTCAGCTTGGGGTGCTGCACGACGTTGTTGATCCAGGTGAGGATGTGCTCGAGGTCCTCGGAGGTGGCGGTGCACTTGACCTGGGACTTGAGCAGGTTGCCCTTGATGCCGGACATCACCCGCTGGTCGAGAGGGTTGATGCGCGGCGGGGTGTCGAAGGGGACGCCGGCGCGGTCGAAGGCGTCGTAGACGGAGGCCTCGAAATCGGAGACCGGCGGGTAGATGTCCGAGAGGTCGACGTTGCGCGCCTCGAGGGCCTCGTACACCGCCACGAGGTCCGCGATCTCCTGCGTCTTGGCTTCCTGGAACTCGAGCATGCCGCGCGTGCTGCTGTAGGCGCTCCAGGTGACGAAGAGCACGATGAGCCCCGCGATCACGGCGAGGCCGCCGATGACGAGGAACGTCGTGGGGCGGTTCCCTCGGTCGGCGGAGTTCGCCATGGCGGTGAGCTGGCGGTAGGTGTCGGAGTGGATGCTCACGGTCCGCCCCCGCGCTTCCAGGCGCCGTTGAGGTGGAGCGTGGTGTTCTGGGTCGCGCCGCCGCGGCGGGTCCAGGTGAGGCCGGTGTCGCTCTCGTTGAGAGCGTTCTCGAAGGTGATCTGCTGGCGCCGGTCGATGGACATGAGCCGGAGCTCCGAGCCCGTGCCGCCCTGGATGCGGAACAGGGAGATCTGGATGTCTTCGAGGTTCGACGCGACCTCGATGAGGTTGACGAACTCGTCGTAGACGGGGTCGGGCCGGGGCGCGGTCTGCTGAACCGGCTGGTTGCGTTTCTCGTTGATGAGGGCGCGGAGCGAACGCTCGGGGAGCGGGGAGCGGCGGATGGTCTCGTCCGGGATGCGCGCGAGCAGCTCGCGCTTCTCGTCCTGGTACGCGCCGATCACGGGGTTCATCGACTTGCTCGCGTCGTGCAGCTGGTAGCCCAGACCGATCATCGCGGTCGACGCGAGGACGAGCGCCGCGGCACTGAGGCGGTAGCGTCGGCGGACGGAGCGTGTCGGGCGTCGGGTGAGGCGGAGCAGGCAGTGGCGCGAGGTGAGCTCGCCGCGGACGGCGGCGATCGCGGCGGTGGCGCGGGAGAGCGTCTCGCGCATGGGGTCGGCGGTGCGCTCGGTGTGGACGCGGAGATCGTCGAATCGGGCGCGGAGCGCGTCGCCGAGGGTGGTCTCCCGCGCGGAGACGATGCGGACCGATTCGGGGAACGTCCCGAGGTGGGCGCCCCAGCTGAGCCAGTCGAGGGAGAGGCGGTGCTCGCACGCGGCGTCGGGGTCCGCGGTGGGCTCCTCGTCGGATTCGTCGTCGGGCTCGATGACCGCGGGGTGGCGGGGGGAGGCGACGGTGCCGCCGGTGAGCAGGTCGCCGTTGCGTGTCCAGCTCCAGATGAGCTTGTGGTCGTCGGTGATGTAGATCACGGCGGAGACGCCGTCGGCCTGCTCGGCCCACGCCATGGCGAGGGCGTGCCAGAGGGAGATGACGGCGGAGGGCCGGACGCCGCGTTGGTCGAGCGCGTCGAGCCAGAGGCGGGCGAGGGCGTCGTGGAAGGTGATGACGGCGGTGCTGACGCGGGAGCCGGTGGGCTCTTCGGCCGGTTTGTCGCTCTTCTTGCGCGAGAAGGGTTTGGCTCCGGGGGCGCGTTGTCGGTCCTCGTCGGTCTTGGAGAGGATGGGCTCGACGGCGACGTTCGAGGCGTCGACGCCCCAGTCCATGGTCTGGTCGCGGTAGGCGCTGGCGACGACCTGGTAGGAGGCGCTGCGGGACTGGATCCACGTGCAGAGGGCCTCGCTGGTGTCGATGCAGGCGACGCTGAGGCGTTTGGCGGAGGGGCCCTGCTGGCTGAGCCACTGGGCGGCGGCCTGGGCGCGCTGGCGGTAGGCGGCGGCGCTGGGCTCGCTCTCGGCGGAGTCGGGCGGCGACCATTGCTGCGCGCTGGTCTCGTCGTAGAGGCTGACGCGGGTGAGGTCGGTCGTGATGTGGCAGGCGGAAGCGGCCATGGGCTCGTGGGTGGTCCTCGGAAAACCGGGCAGTGTACCCGCGCGGGATCAGTTGTCCGTCGCGCCGTAGTCTTCGAATCCCTCGGCCCCGCGTCGCGCCTCGATCTCGATCTCGACCTCGTCGCCGGCGCGGAGGATCACGATCTTCTCGCGCGTGACCTCGGCGATGGTGATCATCCGCTGGCGGGGGTCGACGGTGTCCTGGAGCTGGCCGTTGACGTAGACGATCTTCGTGCCGAACTCGGTCTCGAGGACGGCGGCGATGCGCCCGTTGGGCTGGGCGATGTAGCCGACGTACCGCCACATGAGCGGCGGGAGGTGCTCGGCGGTCTGCTGGGGCTGCTCCTCGTTGTACCCGCCGATGTTCTGCTCGCTGGTCTCGGGCTCTTCGCGCTCGGGGGCGGGGATGCGCAGCTCGCGGAGCCCCTCCTCGATGGCGAGCCAGTCGTGGGTGGGGACCTTGGCGTCGACGGCGAGGGCGCCGCCGGCGTTGGGGCCGATGTTGGGCGTGCGGGGCGTGATCTCGCGCTTGCGGGCGTTGTCGAAGGGCATGGGCAGGACCCAGACGCCGACGGCGAGCGCGAGCGTGGCGAGGAGGACGACGGGGATCACCTTCGATCCGGCGGTCGATTTGGTTGCGATGCGTGTCATCATCATGGCGCAGTGCTGCCCTTCGCGGTGCCCCGCCGGCGGTCGCCGGAGGTGTCACCGTTGTAGCCGATGCGCGCGTCTCGTGCTGCTCAGCGCCCGAGAACCTCGCGCGTCCGTGGTTCGATGTACGGCCCCCATCTGTGCACGACGGGGAACGTCGAGGTCTGCTCGACGATCATGGTATACCGGCGCGTCCGCGACGCGTTGGGGTCGATCACTTCGATTTGCATTTCCCAGAGCACGGGCGTGAGCGCGACGCGCCGCAGGACCTCCTGCGTCCGCACCGGTTCGATGCCCGAGGCGCCGAGCGCCTGCGCGAAACCGGCGGGGTCGTCGACGCCGGTGTCGCGCGCGTCGATGAGCGCCCCGGCGAGGTCCGGGTCGTTGTCCGCGATGGTGATGAGGACCTCGTCGCTCGCGCTGCGCAGCGAGACCTGCATCGGCCCGTGGCGGCGAATGAGGTCCACGCGGTCCTGCGGGAGGCGCGACAGCATCCGGAAGAGCCACTCGTAATCCGCCGGCGCGAGCGTCTCGTCGAGGCGTGCCAGCATCGTGCCCTGGGCGTCGATCGCCCGCAGGCTGACCACCACGCCGGACTGGAGCGTGAACCGCTGCGTGGCGCCCTCGTTCATCGCCAGCGCGAGCAGCGGGCTCTCGGTGTCCGTGCGCCGGTTGCCGCTCCCGGCGCTCCGGTTCTGGTTCATGATCCACAGCACGATGATGTCCCGCACGCTCAGCGCCTCGTGCTGCGTCTTGTACTGCTGGATGCGCTGCTCGGCGACGGACGCCTTGAACTGCGCCGCGTTGATCGTCGCGCCGATCGCGATCGTGCCGACCACGACCACCATGAGGACGAACATGAAGACGAACCCGCGGCGGGCGGTTCGATCGGGTCGTTGGTGACCGCGGCTCATGACGCGCCCTCCGGGACGATCGCCTGGACCTCAAACATCCAGTCGAGCTCCTGGCCGTCCGCCATGAAGAGCACGACGCGCACCGCGGGCGGGAAGTCCTCTTCGAGGTAGGCCGCGTGGACCTCGGTCCACTCCGGCGCGTCGCGGTGGGGGAGGACGTAGAAGCGCATCCACTCGAGGTCCTCGAGGACGACGTACGGCTCGCCGACGGGGTCGGTGGGGATGAACACGAGGGAGTAGAGGCCGTCGATCTGCGGCTCGAGGCGCATCACGCTGCGCACGAAGCCGAGCCGGTCGAGCACGCCTCGCTGCGCTTCGAAGAAGGGGTCGCTCGGGGGGATGGGCGGGTCGGTGACGACGCACTCGAGCACGGGCACGGGCCAGCCCTGGACCTCGGCGTCGAAGTAGATCTCGAACATGACGTTGAAGTTCAGCTCGCCGTCCTCGAGGAGCTGGCTCGCGAGGCCGCCGTCGAGGAGGTTGTTGAGCAGGTCGTCGAAGCTGTCGCCGGGCTCGTCCTCGGCGTCGGCTTCGTCGCCCTCGGCCTCTCCGGACGCGGCCTCGAGCAGTGCGGCGGGGTCGTCCTCTTCCGGCACGAGGGGCACGCCCGCGACGAGGCGGACGAACATGTCGCGGAAGAACTGCTGGGTCTGGGCGACGCGGACGGACTGTTGGATGCCGCCGGTCTGCTCGCTCTGGGCGCTGGTGACGAGGCTCAGCACGCCCAGCGCGGCGGCGACGACGAAGCTCGCGAGCAAGAGCGCGAGCATGACCTCGATGAGCGTGAAGGCGCGTCGTTCGCGGTGTCGTTTCGCGCGGGGCATGGGGGGCTCAGTTCTCCGTCGCGGGCGGCGTGCCGGTGCGCTCGGCGATGAGCCTCAGGAGCCACTCCTGCGCCCACTCCTCGTCCTGGAGGAAGGGGTAGTAGTGGCGCGCGAGCTCGATGACGGGCTTGTCGGGTGGGAAGAGCGCGGTGGGCTCGAAGAGGTAGACGCGGACGGTGAGCTTGTGCATCGACTGCACACGCTGGGTGATCTCGACGTCGCCGACGCCGAAGGCGGTGCCCTGGCTGAGGCCCTCGATGTCCGAGGTCTCCTGGACGAGGATGGCTTCTTCGGTCTCGACGCGGTACTGCGTGTCGCCCTGCCAGACGGCCTGCTTGGGGTCGGGCGTGAGGTTCGAGTCGTCGAGGTACTGGATGATGACGCGGTGGCCGAGCTCGATGGCCTGGAGGCGGTGCTTCTCCTGCTCGCCGAGCGTGGCGAGGTAGCCGAGTGATCCCACGACGAGGGTCGCGAACGTCGCGAGCATCGCGAGCGCGACGACGACCTCGATGAATGTGAGACCGCGCCGGCGCATCACTCCACGACTTTCTCGTGCTCGGGGTACTCGACGAGGTCGTCGTTCGTGCCGAACTGGCCGTCGCTGCCCGCGCTGCGCACCTCGAAGGAGAAGCCGTCGGGCGAGGGCACGAAGACCTCCATGCGGCGCTCCCACGAGTCGCGGATGCTGTTGACCGGGTTGTTGGCCGCGAGGGTGTCGATGTCGAGCGGGTAGGCGTTGTACGTGCTGTAGTACATGCTCATCGCGTTGGCGACGGTTTTGAGTGAGGTCTTGGTGGCGTCGATCTTGGCCTTCTCGGCGGCGCCGACGAGGTTGTAGGTCACGATCCCGCCGAGCACGCCGATGATGACGAGGACGATCATCACTTCGAGCAGCGTGAAGCCTCGGGCGACGGCCTTGGCGGTGGTGTTGCGGGTCGGCATCTCGGTGGTCCTTTCGGGCGTCGGGATCGGGTGTGCTGGGTTCCGGTGGCGTCGGTGCGGGCGCAAGTATAGATCGCCCGCCCGGGTCGATCTGGTTCTCATCGGGTCGCCGTCCCCCTCGCCTCCACCTTCTACCGGCGCGGTTTCGGGCGGGTTTCGCGGTTTCTCAGGACGAGGCGCGGAAGGTCATGAGGGGGATCGCGATCGCCATGATCAAGGGTCCGATCATCGAGAACATCATGACGATGATGGCGGGCTCGAGCAGCGCGAGGAGGCGCCCGGTGCGGGTGTCGACCTCGTCGGCGAGGTCCTTGCTCAGCGCGTCGAAGACGGAGTCCAGGTCGCCGCCGCGTTCGCCCGCGATGAGCAGGCGTCGCGTCGCGAGGGGCAGGGCGGTGACGTCCTCGATGAGCGTCCGCAGGACGCCGCCCTCGACGAGGCGCTGGCGGAGCCGCTCGAGCTGCGCCTTGAGCGTGGGGTTGGAGATGACGTTCGTCGACGAGCCCAGCGCCTCGGCGAGGGGGACGCCCGACTTCGTCATCGCGCCCATCACGGAGAAGAAGCGAGCGGACTCGACGGTGAGCATGAGCCCGTCGACCGCGGGGATCCGGCGCCCGACGGACGCGCCGATCGCGAAGAAGCGCTGGCGCGCGAAGAAGATCAGGGCGATCACCACGCCGATGATGAGGAACGCCAGCGCCTTGTTCGCGGCGAGCCACGTCCCCAGCGCGAACACGACGCGGGAGAGCGCGTTCATGTTGTCCACGCCGAGCTGCTCGAACTGCGAGCTGAACATCGGCACGAGGAACATCAGGATGCCGAGCACGATGAGGAAGCTGATCGTGGAGACGACCGCGGGGTAGATCATGACGGTGATGGTCTTGCCCTTGATCGCGAGCTGGCGCTTGGAGGCGTCGGCGAGGCGGCGTCCCGCGCTGCCCAGGTCGCCCGTGCGCTCCGCGGCGCGGTAGACGGCGACGGTGACGTGCTCGAACCCGCCGACCTGCGTGCACGCGTCGGCGAACGACGCGCCGGAGGCGACGAGCGAGCGGAGCCGCTCCACGCGCTCGCGCGAGCGGGGCGAGACGACGCTCGCCGCGACGTCCAGCGCCTCGACGAGCGGCACGCCGCGGTCGAGCAGGACGGCGAGCTGCTCGTTCATCGCGGCCTCGTCCTTCGTGGACATGCGCGACGGGGCGCTCGGCGCGAGGGGGAGCTTCCACGCGTTGAGCAGGAGCATGTCCTCGCGTTTGAGGTCCTCGGCGAGCTGGGTGCGGTCGGGCGCGGCGCGGAAGCCCATCGCCTTCGTGCCCGAGGGCTTCATCGCCTGATAGAAGAACTGGGAGAGGAGGGTCGGCGAGGCGGAGCTCATGCCAGGACCCTGCGGAGCTCGTGCTCGGTGGTGAGGCCGCGTTTCACACGTTCGAGGCCGTCCTCGAACATGCCGATCATGCCCTCGTTGACGGCGAGGTTGCGGATGGCGCGGGCGTCGGCGGTGGTGAGGGTCATGCGGCGGATGTCGTCGGAAAGGCGCATGAGCTCGAAGATCGCGACGCGCCCGGAGAAGCCGGTTCCGTAGCAGCTCTCGCACGAGGCGCCGCCGGTCTCGCCCTTGCCCTCGCACTTCTGGCAGAGTCGGCGGAGCAGGCGCTGGGCGAGCACCGCGAGGAGCGAGGAGCTGATGAGGTACGGCTCGATGCCGATGTCCTGCAGGCGCGAGATAGCGCTGGGCGCGTCGTTCGTGTGGAGCGTCGCGAGCACGAGGTGGCCCGTGAGCGACGCCTGCACCGCGAGCTGCGCCGTCTCCGCGTCGCGGACCTCGCCGACGAGGATCACGTCCGGGTCCTGACGCAGGAGCGACCGCAGACCCGCCGCGAACGTCACGCCGCGCTTCACGTTCACCTGCACCTGCGCGATGCCTTCGAGGTGGTACTCGACGGGGTCCTCGA